AAGCCAACACCCACCTCCCCACCCCCTCCACCCAGTTGCCAGCTCTGAGCAAGTTTTATTTTTGGGCGAAGATTGAGAAGATCACAGCAGATTGATTTGATCAATTGATTTAGAGTTTGCAGTCAAAAATTGTTCAGAGTTATATACAAGAAGACTTTGATTTGTTGTGATCAAACGGGCATTTTAGTAGTAGTATTGGATATTTACGAAGAATTATGGGAGAAATGAATGAACAATGATTTAGTGACTTGCTTGAATTTGAAGTGAAATTCTCCGCCTTGAAGTGAGACTTTCACTTCAAGAACCATTTTATGAGACGATGCAAGCGTTTCTTCGATCAATAACTACAGATGAAATGAATTTCTTATGTGCTCATACAAGAAGATCTGTTGAGGAGCAGAGAAAGGTGATTCCATTGAATAACGCAGCATTTAACGATGTAAAGATGTTTCGAATGATATTTCGAAAGTAGAACAAGACAATTTTGGTAAGACGATAACATAGTACTATGAACACAGTATTGTAATTGTAATACAATGTCCTGTGTCGATTACAATCATCCACAATACAATATTCAAGTATCGCAATGATATCGTCGAAAACCGTAATTCAAGAAACCGTAACCGCGTATAATTCTCACAGAACAGCTATTTCAACTTTGCAGAGGAGAGCTACGAGAGAGAAGAATAGAGTTGAGGTTATGGGGATGAGATAGAGTGGTTGTATCTATTCGAGGTTATGAGCCGGATGTGTAATACCCAATCTCATGTTGTTCCTATGTATACCTCCCAAGAAGTGAATTTCATAGAAAATGTGTAATGTAACACCGCCTTTTCACTGAAAGAGCACTTAGTCGTAAGATCTGGTTGGTGGAATGGAACGTTTTTCGTTAGTGATGAGCGCTGTGAATGAAAGTGATACATTGGCAAGAAATTGAGGGTTTTAAGCACGATATAATATCAGTTTGAGAATTAATTTATGAGGCGGCGATTGATGTGTTATTGCTGGCAGGCATTGTGCGAGGAATATTTTAAGGACACGTTCAAATAGCGCAAGTGCCTGAACGTCACGAGCCGGATTCAGCTGGAGAGATAAATTACGAGTACATATTCAAGATATTGAAAGAGAACGGTGATTGGGATATTGGATGTGAGTATATGGAACGCGGTGAATCGATGGAATATTTCGAGTGGATGAAACGATACGAGTTGATTTAATTTGTGACCTTATCGATAGATATATATGGTTAACGCCATTTACCCAATAACCGATTGTGTATAATCATGTACTAAAACACAGCTCGGTACTACAGGGTAAACGAAATAACCATTTTTAGATGATTAGCTAGGTGCAAGGTGATCATAGACTGCATCTGATTCCATACCACTATCATTCATTTATCTCATCAAGAATGTAATATTTATTTAAAGGAGATGATCACAACAAATGAATTTGATCAAAATAAATAATTTCCAGTCTATGTACAGATCACCTGTCCAGTTGCTTGAGTGTACAGAAATAACGACAGATTATTATGGATCGGTGGTATGATCGATCGGGTTTTTAGAATCGAGTAAACTTTAAGGGAGTTACTTAGGTGAGATGTGAACAATTCAAAAGAGACCAAAAGTAGACTGAGTGATCAAACGTGTAAAATTATTCGAAGTGGGGAGTGATCGAGGTGGTGCTGGTGCTGGTGCTGGTGGCATAGGGCGGACGGGTATTTGAGGAGTTGTATTTGGAAGGAGAGGGAATTTGTGTGATGATAGAAATACACATAGTAGACACACACAAATGGAAGGAACGGTTCTGAACGACAATAACTCACGATCAGACTCGTTGTTTATTATTATATGTATTATTCGTTGGTGGGTTCGTTGAGAACGAGAAGAGAGCACGGCAATAATTTTTAGTTAGCGAATGCAATAAAGCAATGACGAGCGACGATCCTCTTTGAATATTCGTTTGAAAGAGCGCCGAACATAATAAAAACTCTTTAAATGCCACTTCGATCTATGCCTTTTTATTTATATCTATATCCATATGCATTCCTAC